AGGGGCCTATCCCTGCCGTCTCAGGGCGAAGGCAGGGGACACCCTGGACAGGTCGCCAGTCCATCACAGGAGTCACAAATAAGCGCACTCATTCACATCAATAGACAATTCAGAATTCAGGGAGAACATGCAAACTCCACACAGAAAGATCCCAGACATCCTAAACAAGCCACCGATAATTATTATTATTACATACTATACAGCCATATGACTGTTGTTAAAACACATGAATGAGTGTAACCCTGAAATTGTTTTCCTGAGGAGATAAAGCAGCCGGTAAGTATGTCCTCAATGTTATAATAATAATAATAATAATAATAATAATAATAATAATAATAAACAACTTTATGTATATAGCACTTTTCAAAACAGGGTTACAAAGTGCTTTACAGATGCAAAGAGAAGTATAAGGAAGCAACAACTAAGGACATAAAAAAAGGAAAGAAATAGTGAAGGTGAAACACATAAAGCATGACGGACAATAAAACAATATAAAAATATATAAGAAGAGTAAGTGTTAATGTTAGGGTTAGGATAGTATGAAACAGGATTTAACCAGGAAAAACATCTTTAACGAGGCCAAAAATGACACCCATGGGTTCCAGTAAGTCAAAACAAAGCTGTCATGGACGAATTTACCCATTATGTTTAACAAAATTATTTTAATTTCATTTTATCCAATTGAGCTTTGCACATCTCCTGGAAAACTACACCTGACACAGGGCTGAGTCCCAAGGGGTGAAAATTAAAACTGTCATTGTCATAGGACTCGTAGCGATATCCATCCCAAGTCCTGAGAGACTGAGCCTGGGTCTTTTTGTCTGACACGTGATTAAATAATAATTCACTGAGATACATTTAAATGAGTTTAGCCTTTTATTAAAGGAAAACAAGATCAAAACTCATACGAAAAAACTCCAAATCAAAGTAATCAAACAAAATAGCATAATAGCGAAAAAGCGGTCAACAAAAAATACGGCTGAAGACTGTCCAGCAGCTCCAGCACTACGCAGTGAGTCTGTTACCTTCTGTATGTGAAACGCCCCATGTCATGTTCCGGAGCGTCGCAGAGAGTTTTGAGCAACGAGGCGTGGCATTTTCATTTACATAAAATAGACTGGACTTCAACCACTCAACAACTCTCCCCCCCAAAAAACTTTACGCCTCACAAGCCAAGCAATGCAGTCTTGTCTTCACTAAACTTTCTTGTGCACTCCCGTCAGTCAATGCATCCTGGGCATTTTCTTTGTGGCTGGCAAACAAACTTTAGGTACATTACTGCCACCTACCGGGCTAGAGTGTATACGTCAGTGTTCCCGGTGTGCCAGAAATTGGGAAACTGAGAAAGGTGTGACTAAATGCAATATTTTTTTAAACGCGTTATTTTTTTCTGTAATTAATTAATTGAAGTTCACACCAGTTCCAGCCTTATACCAGGACATAAACGGCAGTGTCTGCATTGACATACTTAAAAATTTTTATCAGCAATGGTCTAATTACAGTTATTGTAATTCTGTAAACCTCTTTTTAATAATAAATTTCTTATATGTGAGGGACTGAAATTTATCAACAAAGACAATGCCCTCTAACAGATTTGAGTGAGTATCTTCTGCTCTGTATATCTTCTACATTATCACAGAATGCAGGGTACAGATGTAGGTGCAACTGGGTTTTTAAGTTAATCTCCTTAAAACACTATCATTGAAAATTGGCGAACCACCGGGAAAGTAAATTCAGTCTAAAGATCTGTCTCATAAAATAGGTTCAAGTGTCATCTCCTTGCGTATGTGTGTTTTCTTCAATGCCAATTGCCAAACAGCACATGCATATTAACATATGCAATCCTATGTGTAGTCATGTTCACTGTTGGGCTACACTAGCTGTATAT